AAATAGAAATAATGCACAGCCTAAAGAATGATTAGTAATAGGTAGTCTATATATATAAGAAAAACAAAAAAAAAGAAGAAACTATCCTAATGTATTAAGCACGTGACTCCACATTTGGACGCAAACCTAATAAAATAGGCCAAGCCACATGATCTTTGATTCACTTACTTCACTCGTCCATTTACAAATGCATTTCGTAATACTTATACATTTGTATAAATTTTCACCGGTGTCCCAGGAATTATGATAATAGCTGTAAGACGGATTCGGATCCAGAGCATGGATCTGACTTGGTTTTTCGGATCGGGTTCGGATCTTTAAAAATATCCGTCCGATCCGGTCCTTTCGGAACACTAGTTCTTATGGACAGTATCATGGCCAGAATTAGAGTTAGCGTTAGCGCTAGCGCTAGGGTAGGCGAATTTGGTAATTTCAGTCACATGATACTGTCCGTAAGAACTTTCCGTAAACGATTGTGATCGAATATATAGCCCGGCGTTCCTCTGGGATCGTCGTCCATTCAATACAATCTATCAAAAGAGTACTCGTGTCCTAATACACGAACAACTCAATTAAACTATTCATATCATCCCACGGCTATTTGTATCTTCATATACATTTAGCCGTTTGCCTCTTTCGTAATTGTAAGCCTCTTTTTATTATAAAGCATATTTGCTAGTTATAAAAAACTCAAAAATTTGTTTTTATTCAACACAAACTTTATGATTGATTAGGATGTCTCATATCGGCCTAATTACAAACATGATGCAGGTGCTATAGTGCTGTAGTGATGATTACTATGTACAGGTAATTAAGATTTTTTATAGTGAAATTTTGCAGATCTGCGTTCTATATTAAATGATTATAGAAAATAGAATTTACATCATTAATTCCTCCCGTAATATTTAACATTTTTTAATTCTATAAAAGCAAGATGTTTAATAAAAGACACCTTTATATTTTAACAACGTCAGATTTTTATCTTACTAATTAAAATATATCATGGCTTGTCGGGATATCTACTATCATACGATTTACAAACATAATGCGGGCCACATAGTAAATCGTTGGCCGGGTTTTTTTTTAAAAATTTAAATTCAATAAAAAAATGAACATGTGAAAATAAATTTATACTTGCCGAAGCCTTCTTACGTGCTCTTTAAATTAATACCGCTTCTTTTATTTTGTTTAAGCGCCATTAGATTTAATAATTAATTTTCACCTTAGGCCAACGATTCACTATATGGCCCGCATTATGTTTGTAAATCGTATAATTAATAGATATCCCGACAAGCCATAATGTATTTTAATTAGTAAGATAAAAATCTGACGTTGTTACGATATAAAGGTGCCTTTCATTAAACATCTTGCTTTTATAAAATTAAAAAATGTTAAATATTACGGGAGGAATTAAAGGCGTAGTAAATTCTATTTTCTATAATCATTTATATAATATAGAACACAGACCTGCAAAATTTTACTATAAAAAATCTTAATTAGTGATCACCACTATAGCACCTGCACTATGTTTGTAATTAGGCCGATATGAGACACACTAATGCTTTCTAGGTATGCTCTGGTGTTTAAAATTCAGAACAAAAATTACTTGCACAATTGCAAGCAAAAAAATTTATTTACTTGTATAGTTGTCCCCAAAAAAAATTCTTTTCTTAAACAAACAGTTGTTATATACTTTATATCATATAAATTTTGTACAATTTTTTTTAAAAATTTTACTTGTATACTTGCATAAATTTTTTACAAAATACTTGCACATTAAAATAAGCTTTTGCACATATATATCTTTTGCAAGCCAATTTTAAGCACTGGCACGCCCTTGAGCCAAAAGGCATGCCCGTATTATGTGATTATAAATCTTGATCACGTGTAAATGAAGTATGCTAATTGACTATTAGATCTAGCGGCTACCTCAAGAATATTTCTAAAATTTTGCACAACAGCCTATCAAATTCCAAGATTAGAATCAAGAATATATTCAAAAGTTTTAATTAGAATATATAGAAGTTACATTTCCTGTGATTTTGAAAACCCTTTTTAAATTTTGTTATATAAATACAGAATTTTTGGAAGACATAGCGATAACACTTGGTTATATATAGAAGGCATGCCTCAGCCCAAGGCACGCCTCCTGGGCGTGCCCAAAATTTTTTTCCTTGCCCCAACCCTATTTGTAACTGATATAGCTTGCCTTTAATGGTCAGCATCTCTATTTGTAGGTAAGCTACTAACGCCATTGTTTAGATAGTTCTAATTAATTTAACTACAACTTGGTATATACGAAGCTGGTTTTTTTTGCATTATAATTTTTATTTCATATTTTAGATAAGATATAAAGAATAATATATACTTTATGAATATAAATTATAAGATGTTCTAAATATTGGTGTTTATAAAATCATAATATTGCATTGATAAACCAAATCTGTCATGAGTCAATTTACACATATCATCGAAATCGCAATTAATAGCATCACCTAATAATCGTTTGAACGTATTCCACGGACAATAGGTGTAAATACACTTAGGTATCACCGTGGGTTTTTCGTTAACCAGAATTTGAATAAGGGTCGTGCCAAAGACAGGATCTTCGTCATACCTGGCTGAACAATTATATATCTCAAAATAAACGTTTGCTGCAAATGGGGTCAACCTGCTTGTTCTAAATTTGCGCGATGCGATTTGTTGTGGTAAAGTATCAGCAGTTAAAGGATAATCATCTTCATACAAGCTCTGTAAATGAACATATATATTTTTTAGAAAAAACTCTAGATAACATTAATATAAAAGTTTAGACTTACCAACATTGTTGTCAAAAAAATTATCGTTTCTGCGTGTGCAAATTTCAAAGTACTTTTAACTTGTGATCGTCCAGTTAAATAGGATTCTACCGATTCTACAAAACTAGTGAAAAATCGACAAGCCAATTTGGTATTAAGCTGATATCCGTAAGAAAAGGAATAATAATAGCCCATATCAAGTAGATATTCTAATTGTAAAAAATCATCTTTCTCGAGTAGACTACACCAAGTATCATTTTTATCAGAAAATGACACCGCAAATGAGCATGCGCGATAAATATAATTAATATGAATGGGATCTAAAGGTGGCTCAATTTTTAATCGATCGCTAATTCTCCGAGAAATATCCGATATAAATGCATTAAGGTATTTCTTCTCTTGCCACTTACGAGTAAAATTGCCGTCCTTGACTGTGGCGAGCCATAAAGGACATGCATTGTGCATGGACAATTCTGTATCGTGGCTCTTGATAATTTTTGATGTAAATGTTACTAAATAATTATACCATCTCACCGTAAAGTTCATCATTTATGATACTTACTCTAGGGACCGAAGAAATATATACAGGTTGTAATTTCAAATCACTTAACGATCCGTATCCCGAAAACAATCCATAGGCGTACGCATTTCCAGATTGACC